TTCGATGTGGAAGCCATTTCGCGTCCATCGAGGTCCCGCCTTTCAACTGCTTGGATGTGACGGCGTATATTGGGCACGCATCCACGCGTAAGATGTTTGAGGGAAACGAATGAGGAGACTTGAGGGTTGGAAGTCCATCACGTTGGCGAGTCCGTTGCAGGTTTGGGACCATAGTTCGCGTGCATACTCAAGAGAGCAGCGTGGTATGAAGCTGGCGAAGATCACCCAACTGCTTGATTTGAGTTCTTGCCGTATGACTCTACGGAGGGCAATAGCCACAAGAAGATCAGCCAACCTACAGCGGATGGGAACCGGAAGTTGCAAAATGAAAGCATCGCAAACCCCCGTTTTTGTTGTAACCAGTGTTGGCCCCCTGTGAGCTATGATGTGTGCCTTCGTCCTGCGCCGACAGGATTGGAATTCTTCAGCTTCAGAGCCGACGAACTGGAATATGTCATCCCGGTCCGTACAAGGATCAACATCCTTAGGAGACGCAAGTCAAGGGGCAAGTAGGAGGTACACGTTCTCATGAGACTGAGCAGGACTCTGCGGCTTCGGAAACGAGATCACCCGGGTCCTTAGGGACCATCAGCCCGGCGTCCATTCGGCTCGCAGTTCTGTCAACTTGACAAGTCATCTGCGACAGGTAGAAGAATTGGAATCCCCAAACTAATTCAAAGCATTCATCTTCAGAGCGTTGTTAGAGCCGTCCTGGGACCTTGTGAGTTACCTCCCTGTCAGTGGTGACAGAGAAGGGGCTAGGTGAAATTTATTTCAGAGGACAGTATAAGCAAATTTCATTCTAGAGGAGGGGCTAAGTGAATTTAAGAGGAGGGTCTAAGCGAATTTGAGAGGAGGGGCTAAGTGAATTTAAGAGGAGGTTCTAAGTGAATTTAAGAGGAGGGGCTAAGTGAATTTGAGAGGAGGGGCTAAGTGAATTTCAGAAGAGGGGCTAAGTGAATTTCATTCTAGAGGCGACTCAATCTCGTGACAGACACCTATAGGCTTAAAACCATCCTTCATAAATACAATACGCTACGCAATATAATATAGCTACTCTTATAATCTAGCTATTAATATTATCTTATTATACCTAATAAGTATATATTTAATATTTAATATTCTAAAAGAATAAAACTCTATCTTAATACGCTTTATAATATATATAGTAATATACTTATAAATAGCCTTACTTAAAGTTAAAGGGGGTAAAACCTTAATAAGAGATATTAATCTATAAGAGATTATTCCTTTTACTATTAAGATTATACTATAAACTTTATTCTTTTATTTACTTAAAATATTATTTTATATCTTTTATTTTATATTAGTCTCTATTATTAATATTTTTAATATAATTTTAAGCTTTAACCCTCTTTAGTCTCTTAATACCTTTAAGAATAATATTCCCTTCTATTTAAATTATATTAATAATATTCTTTTTATATACTATATTAATAAGAATATTATAATAAATACTATCTTTTTAAAGAAATAAATAATTTAGTAATAATATATAAGTTATATAATATTATAATAAAATTTAAACTTACTTATAGCTTAAATAGTAACTAAAATAAAATATAAACTATTATTAATTCTTAATATATTATAATATAATAAGCTATATAATAATATAAAGCTTAGTCTACTTAATATTCTAATAATAATAAGATAATATATAGAGATACTAGTTAGGATCTAAATATATTAAATATAAAGTTAATAGTTTCTACTTTAAATATATTAGGTATAATTAGGCTTAAATTAATCCTTATTATTAAATAATAGCGCTAATATAGGAAAGGTAATATATAACTTAAAACTATCCTTAAAGGCGCGCTATAGTGTAGTATTACGAAGTTTGGGTTGAGGGCTCCCTCCTCACCTCTCCGGTGAGGGTAGGTAGTGCTTGCGCGGCCGAGGCCTTTGACGACGCGATACACCCTCTTAGACCGATGTTAAGCCGTTACCATGGTCTCTTGACTTGCCGTCTGTCTTGAATACACGAAGAAAGGCACTGAATTGCTCAAGGAAGGATGAAACGGCTTTGGAGATCTTCGAAACCATGAAAGGGTATGCAGCTGTGTGTCTCTCCGTGATTGAGAATTTCCCGCCTCATGTCATGAGCAAACGCACTCGTTATTTTTTAAGCAGTATTCATGAGCGGCAAGGCATTTTGTGGCGTTCAACATCAACCTTCGAAAGGTTCAGTATCGGATAAGCTGATGAGCCCACGAGATTCATATTGAGCCAGCGTCAGAACTAAATATGAGTCTCAAAGAAGCGTCGGGGCGCATGGTGGGGTGAGTATTGCTCTCCATATGTAGGAGCCCTCTTCCGGCTCTCGATCGATAGCTCGTGACGCTCTCGCCCAGTCCTCATATCTAGGTAGGATGACCATGCTTGGGGAGCCTGCCGGCTTAGGCTATGAATCACGCTTCTGCGATCGCGCTGGAGAGCAGGAACTCTTCGTTGGAGATGTTGGATGATAATGATGGAAACAGAGCAACAGGTTGATGCGATGCGGCGAGATCCTTCAGTCAAGACCTTCCTTCGCCAAGTACAAGCATTCAACAACATTAGAAACACGAACATACGTGCCATTCCAGCGGCAGATCTTCCCATCAACTTCTACTACTCCCAACATCGGGTGTTATTGAATCCTTCGGATAGTTTAGAGTGTTGCTGATAGTCCGTCCCCATATCGTCACAGCGGCTGATCTCTCCCCCTTGCTGCATCGACCACGCATCGCCGACGGTAGCAGAGAAGCATACCGGGCCGAGCATCACGTCCCATGCTCTCAGACCGAAGGCATTTGGGCCTTCATACTTGTCTGCCGCGACTTGCATTGGTGGACCTATCCGCCGAAACTGGAGCCTCAAGAACGAGACGGTACCTAGAACCCCAAAGCCCCAGCTGCGTCTCGTACGGCGACTCCATCTCTGTGTCTCGACTGGTTGAGGTTGAAGAACCATCAACCTGATGCAACGTGTCGTCCGGGACCTGGGCTGTATACCCTTGTGGCCTCGAGCTTTGTCTACATAAACACTCTATTCTCAAGTCCTGAAGTGACCCATCGAGATCAAGGGAGCCAGCGTCCACGGCGATAATTGGGCCTCAGTCTCGCAGATGGTAAATTTGTATTCAGCCCATGGACCTCCCTTGACGGATCATTTCATTAGAGATCGTCGTACAGGATCTAGTAGATGTGTTTCGGCCGTCGAAAATGCATACCATCGAGGGAACTGCCTAGAAATCGTGTCACGACCGGAGTTGGTATCCGCTGTTGATTGCCTCGGCACAGGTATGGGAGAGAGGCGATGGAGAAGAAAACAAGACAGGTCAACGATCACGCCGGGCGAGGCTTCATTCTTGACTTCGCAAAACAACAACGACTCGTCGATGTGACCTTGCACATGGCACTTGGTGCGGCTCTTCATGTGGTTGTCGATGAGATGGTCGATGGGATGGTCGATGGGATGGTGGAGGGGAAGCTCGACGGGAAGCCTAGCGAGATGTTCGACGGGATGGTCCTATCCGAAATGAGGGAGGGATCAATCAATCGGCGTACTAAATCTCAAGGATGGGTAGGTTGGTTCAGCAGGAGCAGCAGTCCTGTCAGAGAAACGCCTCGCGTCCCAGGAAAACAAGGCGAGAACATGGCATTTCGTCCAGAGCTGAGCTGAAGGGCTGGGATCGCGGGCTCGTATGGTGGGAGGAGGGAAGCAAGAATTTTGGATGGATCTTGTCTGCCAAATGCTGCATCCCTGGCACCTCATTTTCAGTTGCCCTTCTCTTGTCTGTACCAGCAGTGTGACATACATGACCTGAGTTGGTGACGGCGTTCAAGTTCTTGACATTGCTGGCGGTGGCAGACGCAGAACTGCCCGCCTCCTTCTCGACTTCCATCTTGAGGAGATTGAGTCGACACAGACGAGAAAAAAGAAGACATACCTGGGTACCTGCGTAGGTACCTGAGGAGACTGCAACTTCGACTTGGTAGGGTGCAACACAACCGACTCAGCCGTGAAGAAGGCAGTATCCCATACGACGGTCTTATCCGCCGGACTTGCGCAGAAGAACGAGGAGCGTCGCCAGGATGGTGTGCATCTCGCGCATTTCATTCCATCCGGGGTGCGAACAGCTGTTACTTTCGCAACTTTTAATAGAATACGAATCGGATGAAGACAGCAGAAAATTCCCTCCATCAGATCAGGTCCGCACCGGTGGTCTGCATGTCAGTCGGCCCCACTCCGTATCCGATCGCCGGCCCCCGGGAAATGTGGATCATTCCGGTAAAATACCGAAACAGCGCCGCTGGGCTGCTTCTGCTGCCTGTAGGTAGGGAGGATGCAGTTGGCGCATGTGCGGTAGGCCATCCAAGCGTTCCTATAATCTTGTCGGTCGAGAGGTTGGCCATGAGGTTTACGGAGCCCTCCAGCACATCCCGACATCAAGTCAATAAGCTGGGGGAATTTGACGAGCACTCAATACGGGTAGATCAATGCGTGCGGCGATACCAGTATGACCGATGCGACAGAGGTTCCGGCTGTCGAGAGCGATCATCTTCAGGCGAACGGCTCAGACCGAATCAAGTGTTCCGAACAAAAGCACGGCACAAATAATTGCGTGCTTGAGAGTGTTGATGATGACCGTAGAGCAGCTCTGCGTCGTTTGTTGCACCAAACTCATCATCTTACTTACATCTTGCTAACATCGCTTCGTTGAATGTAGTTGGGTCTGCGTCACAACATACGTCTCCTCATCGAGACGTCCTGACGAAAACGTTTTGCCGCGACGGTAATGGAGAACAACGGTCGAGCCGCCGAGGCTGAAGGGCGGGTGAGAAGTACAGCCGGTTCCATCCTGTGGAGGCAGGCAGTCTGTGGGTGATGAGGTCGCGTTTCTGATAAGATGTTGAGATGAGTATCGCCGTTGTTGTCATTGTCCCAGTCTCGCCAGTGCTTCGGAGGTTCAGCCTGCGACCAAGCCGCCGTCATTGCTGATAGTAGTCGCCTACGGCGGCAAGAAATCGTGGCCTGGCAAGTCGGGGTGAAGGCGCGGCGATGAAGAAAAAGGCCTTCGGGAGGTAGACAACGCGCCGCCAGGAGTGAAGGACTTCCAAACTCATGTGACTGGCTGCTGACTGACCAAGGCTTGTTCGAATCGTTCGATCGATGTTGGCGACTCCGATGCTTGATTTTGCCAGAATTTGTCCTCCAAGACTGGCGTGCTTGGAAAAGGCCAGTGTATCTCTACGGGCAACCGAGGCCAGCGGTAGAGCCACGATGAAGCGCTCAGGGTTGTGCGTATCGGCCGGGTTGAGCTGCGAAGCGACGAGCGCAGACCATGCCGTCGAAGTGGGTATCGGCATCAAATGATATCGACGTCCCGGCGTTGAGAATGCTTCGTACATGGGGAGGTGTAGTGTCGCGCAGAGGGTTGCGGGGTCGGAAAATGGTGATTCAGGCTGTTCAAGAACCTGCCTGTTGCCAGTAGGTGCAGACAGTGGCATGGTTCGCGACTAGACCGTCCGACTAGTTTGGGATGGCTTCAACATGGGAGATTTCGGCGTCGGTGAGTTCCTGGATCTCTGCCACGAAGATCTCGTTGCGCCACAGCGGTGGGGGCATGTTGCCTCTGGAGGAACAAGGTTGTTGTAGAGCGAGTCGCCAAGTTCGACCTGCCATTCGTGATTGGCGGTAAGTTTCCTTCGCCTGCCACCTGAAATGGCTGCTATTGGGAGGGCGATGTGACGGCAGCATCCACAATGCATTCGATAGCTGCTTACTTGACGAGGCTGATGGCGATCCTAGTGGTATCCGGCTTTTTAGCGAAAAGAGCAGTGGCCAGTCCCGCGGCTGGTTCATATCTTGCTGTTGAAGAAGTCGGCCTTGGGCAGCCAACAGAAGTCTTCCTCGATAGGAGCCTCTGTGAGGATTTGGTGGTATGGCTTGCCCAGCCGACGTCTGTAGACACGAGATCTCCCAAGAACCGCCGCCGTATGCAAACAATGCGCCACAACGTCGATCAGATGAGGCTCCTGTAACCATTTGTTGTGTGCCTCCGCCGCCATGCGCTCGTCCTCGTCAAATCCAGTGGCATCTGAACTACCAGCCTGCTCGTGGCACACCTCATGAATGCCGAAGTCTGCCCTCCGAGCGTCGTTAAGCGTTCCATTAGCCTCGATGCCTTGCAACGGCACGGCTCTGCGAGGCGGACGCGGCAGAGAAGTTTATTCCGCAGCATCCCTAGAACAGCATCCGAGGATTATCGCAACAGTTTCCTGAGTTGCTCGCTTAAATCTCGTGGCTTTTTCGTCGGAGGTGCAGGAGACAATTAGATAGGGAGGGTGTGGGGAATAGTCTTGTTCGGGTGAAATGATTCTTGGCGTAGCTGGCGCTGTCTGCTCGTGTCGTTGAATCTCGTGGAGAGGATGTGCTGGTTGGCGCTCCAGAGTGGTAACTGACATCGGTTAGCATGCATGTCATGAGGTAGAAGAGGCTGTCAAAGCCGAAGAAGGTAATAGAAGACGAGGGAAGGATTGCATGGCGGTGTAAAATTGCCGAATATCACATACCTTTGCTGCATCTCATGAAGCGAGCTTATTCGCGTGAATCGTGGCAGAAATTTGGTTGGTCGTATTGAATGTTCCTCCGTATGAATCTCGACGAGAGACTCCTGATAGGCGGCAATTAGCTCCATGGTCGAAAGACTGGAAAGGAGATATCAAACTTGCTTCAATGGATGAAATCTCTTCACACTCACTGCCCTGTCGCTGACAGTCCCAGTGCTAGGAACCACGTTCCAAACGCCTGCTCTCGTCGTCAACCCATTTACGGCATCGTCCAAAGGTGGGAGAACCATGACGACTACCAACTCCCCGCGCCCCAGATTCTGGCCTTTGCGGCAACCGACCAAGAGTCCCAGCTGCGCCGACAGTCCGTCACCGGTGAGCACGTCCAGAGGGCGCGGATCCTTAAGCCAGATTAGCAACCGCCACCGTGAGACCGACCCAACAACTAGGGTCACGACTTACGATGCTTTCGAGGACAACGTCGTGCAGGGAGAGCTCCCAAAACAGCATCATCGGCAGTCGCAGGAGCCCGAGAGCATTGGTGAGCAAGAGGGGGCGGCGGGTAAGTCAGGGCAGATGAGATGTCTCGACCCCGTCAAGCCAATGCGCCTGCAGCTTCCAAGCCTTCTCTCATGCCGCATCCGTATACCGCCGCCGCCGTCAACGAGGCGCCGTGATTCTGCGGTCAATGTTCCGTTTGAAGTCGACCAAGTGAGGCACAGCGTGTAAATCCTTGTTGCCCAGTCTTCCGACCCAACCCCACCACCTCCTCTATTGTCGACGTTGTTATTGTAGCTGCTGTCGTCGTTGTCGTCGTCTTCATCGAAGCCAAGGCCATGGCGGTGGCGCGGTGCCGCTCGTTGCCTCTGTCATATTGGGCTCTGGGTCGCAGGCCGTCGTTCTCTTGGACCCCATCTTCCGTCTCGTTGAGACGATGTTGAGCAAAGCTTCCGCATGCTCCCCCGACTAGACTTGACACCATCCTACTGATCGTCCTGCAATGCCCGACTCTCTTCCACGTACACCACCTCGCCGCCGTTGTTTCCTCTCAGGCTCCGGACCTTGCAGACTCCGAACTTGCAACCCCTAGTCTTGAGCGTGTTTGCCGCATGCGGTCGCATGAGAGGGTTTAACTCAGGGCTTCGGCACGATCTGGCCGGCCGAGGCGAATAGTGCGGCGAAAACTCCGCCCGGCGTGGCGTCCGCACGATTGCGCAGATAGCTGACGACGATGATGAAGGAACATGGCGCAGGTACATGATAGCCCAGACATGCCGCGTATTGCCCGTCGCCAGCGTTGCGAGGGCACAACTGCAGGCCAACTGTCGCTATATGTGAGCGAGACACGCATTGCACCAGAAAGCGAAGGCAGATACGTACATCTTGGTTGTTAGACGAAGGCATGGCGGTAAAGATGGATGGGACACGGCGACGGCGATCGTCGTGCAGGTCGATTTGTCGCTGCCGTATTCAAAGGCATGGCAGCCGATGTGTCGATGCCTTGAAGAGCCAACGTCAGAAGGGCAAGGTGACGTAACGAAGAGAGAATCCGGAGCAACAGGCCGCCAAGTACCAAAGTCAGCATCACCGCAGCCAAGATCGTGGCTCAAGCGCATGACATGTTCCGCCGTCTTCTGTCTTCTTTTACCCAGCCCGCTGAAGCCAATTCTCGAACTGCCGAAACCTGGGGTCTGATGCCGTGCGTTGTCTCGGCTAGCCGAGGCTGACGCTGATACTGCCGGGGCCATGTTCTCACGGGTTTGTGTCTTGCCAAAAGGCGTAGCCGTGAGACCCGAAAAGGACGAAATCTGGGTCAGGCGCGCAGGCCTGTGATCGTTGTCCCTGAAACCGAGGAATACCACGCCATAGTAAGCATTCCCCACGGTTGTGGTGGTTTCGGGCCCGTGGCTGGCGCCTGCGAACGGAATCGAGGTGTCAAATCGGATGATAGGAGCGCGTGTTAACGTGCCATTCGCCTAGCTTGCTGTGGCGTTTGTGTCTGGCGTCGGAGGTGGAATCCTGCTTGTTGGGCTTGCATGACCGGCCAGTAGTGGTCATGGGTTGAGTTCCGGTCGGTTCTCGAACTTTCCGGAGTTATTGATGATCGGCAGTTTGTTGCTGAGCCACAGTATACGAGACCCTTGCGATGGCTGGTGGCTGGCGGGCTTCGTTGGGCGCCGCATGTTCATGGTCATAGAGGCCACTCCCAACTCGTTCAAGTGCTCCTGGCAACGTTACGGCGTCAGAGCCCAGCCCAATTTGGGACTGAGGGGTCTGATACGGTCAGAGGATCCTCGTGACAGCCAAGGAATGTTCTCATCGTTGCCGTTGGCGATGAGGCGAGTGGTCTGGAAGCTTTTGCTTTGGGGCTCTGCATGGACGATTAGTGGGAACAGTAGATTGTGTTGTCAGGCAGGCCAAGCGCCATTCTGTTTGTCGCAACGTGTGTTGAACATGTCTGTGTATCTGTGAAGATATCTCGGTCTGGCGGCGATGGGAAACATGGTTGCATCTTCATGGCACCGATGAACACTTTGAAGGCTTGAAGAGGAGGACGCTTGCCAGGTGGACTGCGCGAAACCATTGAAGCAATCATGCCACCATATCAGTTCCACCATGAGCGCCACGCCAAACCGTCCCCGAAACGTCAACGGAGGACAAGTTAATCAGAGCGCCAGAGCACAACAGGCAAGGCCTCGCAGAACTTTCTCGTTTTCTTGCAGAGGATGCAATACGGGTGATGGAGACAGCAGTGGCTGGCACAGGTAGCTGTAGCTAGACGCTGTCATACACGGTACGCCACCGCCTGCGTCGCCAACGTTGCCCCCAACGGCCGTGGACTGCGCTGCACGTCTAGACCACGACGACGATGAACACCATACTTCCACACATGACAGCGCCGCCACCAACGGCCTCAATGATTATTCCGACGGCGTTGAACGGCTCGCTGGACGCACGCATCACACCGACCACATCATGCGTTCCCACATAGCTAGTGCCGGCAACATCGTGCACCTCGATCTCGCGAATCTCTCCGGCAGTGACCTCAGCTTACTCTGCACGGGCAGTTGACTCAAGAGTCCGGAAGGCCTAGCACGAAGGTTTCAACGAACTGCTGCCATTGCCGCGGCCGCGTTCTGTCGTGAACCGACGCCATGACGACCGAGTTGCAGGTCACCAACAACTCGCGCAGCGAGCCCAGCGCCAGACCGAACAGCATCGGCACCGGGGTCGGCGTCTCGCATGTCGAGACTGACTGTAGTTGCAGGTGGGAGAGCAGCGCCGCGGCGATTGCATCGGTAGAGGAAGTGGCAACGGAGGCGTAGGAGGTCGTGAAGGGACCGTTGAGCACTTACTCGAGGTGGTCGACTGTTGGATTGGTACCGATGCGATCCAGAGGAAAGAAATAAGGAGAAGAAGAAGAAGACGGGTAGAAGGCGACACGAAAGCGCGGGGATCTGTCTGTGTTCGTTTCCAGCGGAGAATCGATGAGCAACTTGCTCGTGGACTTGGGGGACGAAGACAACCACCGTTTGTGGTTGATTTGACTTCAAGGAGTGCGCGACGAATGTCAGCTGACATTGTTGAGAACAACGCCCTCGGAATGGTCAATCGAAAATGAATGGGATCACTGGGTGTGATGGACGCAATGGGCAGGCCCCTGCTGTGACTGATGCAACATCGTGGTGGACAAACTACCCGAAGAGTCCAACACCCAGGAACATGATTCTGTTGAAATCAGCGCGTATGCTCCCACGAGATCGCGGTGGCCAAATTCAAGGAGGGCCGCTCTGGCGCTTCAAGCTTCGAAGCGACTTTGGGCAACCAACATCTTGGAGGACGCAACCAGCAGAACTCGCCGACTCTTGCAAACATGGCCGTGGAGAGTATTCCACAGTCCTCCCAGAGGAGAGTTTTCGTGTGTCGGGAGATGGAACCGATGTGCGTCCAGCTTCAAGAACCGTCTGCGATGTCGACACCGGGTTTGTGTACACACATTGATAACCGTGCCCCGCCCGTTGTGTGTAGACCTCCTCGACTGGAGACGCCATGTTCCGCCCCGGGCAAGAGGCCGCGGAGTGAGCGAGGTCAACGTCCTTGTCACAGTGTAGTATTAATTCGAAGATGGACTCGGCACCGTTCGCAAGTAGTCGATTGGGGTTGTGGTCGCAAAAGTGATCAACGTTGAAGGTTCGGTGGCTGGCGATCGGAGAAGCCGGGTCAATCGTCGAGGGAAACGTATGTTTGCTGGATCAGAAAAGGTAGGTTAGCTCTGTAGCCGAGGAAGAAAGATGACACGAGATGACTTCGGTAACTGAGATGTCATGCTCACCCACCTAATAGTTGCGACGTGCATACCACCTTTTGTGCCGTGACGTGTTCATGGAAATGTCAACCTTTCCGGCGACTCAGCTGGTGCTCTGGCCCAGGCTTCGTATGGAGGACAGTGTCGCTCATTCGCTTCGCGTCGTCGTCCAACAGGGAACCGCTCGGGTTGTCGGTGGAGGTCTGATGTAGGGAAACTTTGGCCTCGGGAAAGGTCAGCACCAGGGAGGTAGTGCTTGTCCAATTGCCGCCGCTTTCAGTTCATTTTCCTGACGCCCAGCGGACGCAAAAAGTAGCGACGCAGGCCGAGGTAGCGTAAACGTCGTGGAGCGGAAGGAAAACGTCGCAAACCATCCTTGGGGGTGTCTCGGGGGACGTCTCGGGTGACATCTCGGGGGCAGCAGGGCGTGGGCGATTGTTGTGGCGGATAATCTGGCGAGGCGACCGATACAAGGTGTGACGTGGTGCGTCGACGCAGCCAGAAAGAAGCTCGAGGTGAATTCAGGGTCCGATCAGGGCATGCCATTCAGCGAATCTCGCTGGTGCTCGGAGAGGTATGCGAAGGTGCAAGCGGGCTCGAGACATCAGAACAAGAGCAGAAAGCAGCGGATTCCCATGACCTGGAGTGCTGGACGATAGAGTGGGAAGCGTTGGAGGCTGTGTATGTGTGCAGAGAAGCTCGGTGTTTGATGTCGATGACTTGATGCCGACGGCTCAGGGATAGTGCGTGCGGTGGCTATCGGGGTGTTGAGTCGGGCGGGAATATCGTTCCACTAGATTGAGGTGGAGTTAGTTGACGTTGACATTGACGCAAAGAGGAGGAAATCTACCGACTTGACCGAGAGAATACTGCGACGCTATGTTACAGCAAGAAAGGTGCTGAAGCTGCCGAACATCGAGGGCGACCTGACTTTGACTGACGTCAGCGGGTCATGGGACTGCTTGAGCATGACCGAAACACGGCGGTCATGGGAGCAGACGGCGAAATTAACGATTCTGCTAAGTACCTATCCGTACCTGGAAGATTGGGGCGCGGCAATTGAGAGCCAGACCCGTATCGTGGGAGCTGTGACCGTGGGTTCTCAAGGTCGAACGCGCTGGCTACTCCGTGTCCTGCAGCGTGCGCGTGATTCTCAAATTTTCAGGGAGGACGCTCACGTCATTGGCTCTGAAACTCGTGAGCTTCCTCTGCCCCACTCTTCAAAACGGCATGACCAACCAGACCACGACTGCCCCTGTGACATGACCCGTAGAGCAGCCGTGGTGAACTCTGAGTGCCTTCCAGCTCGACATTGGTCCCTCCTTTCAAGCTCACTAAGATGCAGGTACGCTCTGAATTTGCTTTCCGAGCAGCGGGGAGTAGAAAAAATAAAAGGGAGAGCTAGGTTTTCCAATGCAGACAGCGGCGAAATGAAGCGCGTGTGATGATTGGTTGAAATTCAACAGAAAACTTAAGGGTCCGTCCGAGCTGCAAGCCAATCAGACCGCATAACGAAGAGTCAGTAACAGGGTTTGGATTTCTAGCCAATCACTGCGGAGGGAGCGCCATGAACTCATGTTTCGCCAGGAACCTAACTTTTGGGAAAAGACTCTCCGAAGCCGCAACCCCTCCTCACCCAGACGATCAACAACCGAACTTTTACTTCGTTCTCGCAGACACTGAGCTTCAACTACGCCGAGGTGCCTAAGGCTCTCATCACACCGCCTCATCCCATCGAGCCGCCGTCCTTCCATCTCTCGCTCAAGTACCAACAGCCCAACCTACCTAGCCTAGCTAAGAATCGAAGCTTCTTCCGGTCCCACCGAATTCCTCGAACGAGCTCTCGATTCCGCGACGACCTCCCCTCCAAACCCAAGTCTCCGAACGACAAGGGTTGCATGTGCAGTTGCCGAAGACCACTGGGACACCCGGAATACCCAATCACATCACCTTTTCCGGGAAGGTTTGTGTCCAAATCATGTCTCATTCCGCTTATGCTTTGGAAACAGTGTCCCGGCAGCTGGAGACGTATGAGTGCGCTCTCAACATGCTCCATCAACCCGACTGAGTCTACCCCGAACGAATCCCTTTCGCGAACACCCATGCGATCGATTCAACAGCACAATCCACTCCGACCGAGTTCACGCCGAATGAAGCTCTCCGCGAATGTCCATACCAAGGATGTCCACACGATCGATCCAACATCAAGACCCAGTCCGAGGTGCCCAGCGCCCTGTACTCCGACGACCAGGCGCCGTACTTCACCGCACCTCTTGCGGGCCATGGACCACTGGGCAGTCTAGCTGCTTCACCGCATCACAATTACACGAGAGCGACGCCCACGAAAGACACAACCTGCATCGGAATCTGGGTCGTGGCCATGAGGCGGCCCGCAACTGCGCGCGATGATAACCCGCGGCCCGAATGTGCTTGCCACCGTCATCATGTCGTGGAAGAGCAGGCTCCCCGGCCTGGAGAGTGTGACTCCCCTGGGCAGGGAGAATCATCTACCCCCCGCGAAAGCAACACTTGCAGGGCTTTACGAAAGAACATTCCCAGCGATCCGTTCGCACATCTGCTCGATCCTCCTTCCACGGCGAAGACAGTGTGTTTTGAGGCCAGCCTGTACCAATGATGTTGCTGCTATGCGCGACTCAAGGGCCTCCGCCACCCTGAACGAGGCTGACCTATCCATACGGGGTTGCAGTCGCCGCTCTTGGGGTTGGAGGAACGTGGACATCGGGACAATGCTCCCAGCCCAAAGTCACCGGCAGCATTTCGTTCGAGTTGGGTACAGTACATGGATCACTACACAGGCGGGCCTCCTCCTCGCTCGGTAGGTAGGTATATCGCAACGAGCTGGACCACCAGCGAATTCTTCCGTCTTTGGGATTGAGGATTTGGCCCACCGTGCCCATAAAGCATCTGCGTTTATGTTGTGCTTTGAATGAACGTATGCCCGCACTTTGCCGCTGCGTATGCCTAGCTGTTAACGAGCTGCGTTTGGAATATATGGCATCGACTGGTATCTAGATATCAAAAGTGACACGAGATTGAGAAGGCTGGCGAGACCTCTGAGCCTATTATCTAAGCACCGCGACGTGTCGATGACTTGGAGACCATAATGCTTGATAAAGAAGTCCCCGTAGATTGTGTCTGGATTGATTCCTTGTGAAGACTGGGCATGTCTCCCGCAGGCTTAGGCCTCTTGGACACTGATTCAACGCCCCTGTGTCATGCAAGCTAAATCACCTTGTCAGCGATACGATCGCAAGAAGAGTTGGAGCTAGTTATGGCCGCCTGATGTCAGCGAAGGAATGGAAGTTAAGAGGTTAATTGCAATCTGGAGAAGGCCGCGAGGACAGATATCCTCTCCAGTATTTACACGCCGCGAAGCAGCAAGACTATGCCCGGTATTCCTCCACCAGCCGTAATCCTGCATAAGCAGCATCGTCGCCTCGTCAGATGCACGAAGAACAACTTCCTTTGTCGTCTTTTCCTCCGAGAGCGAACCAGTGGCCCACGTCATGCCCATCAATCCTGGGCGCAGTCGCAAATCGTCCACACAGTTTCCCCAAGGCCAGCCTGCTACAGAAAATAAATTGGACAGGAAGGAGAGTCATGACTAGCATACTCTGCCAATGTACCAATACAAGCTTCAGACCATGTTGTATATCTGATCCTTCAGCGCTGCGTCGAGGCGCGCATCTTCCCCGTACATGCGCGCCTGGTACTCGGCGTCCAGCCCATTCAGGCGAGCCACTTGATGCCTGACTTCCAACGCAGCCGAGAGGGGATCTCGTGGGGAACGGGCGCGGGATTGACCACGCTCTGCGTCCTGGGTAGGTCTGCGTGAACTCCCCTCCATCAAGTCCATCGATTGGCACAGGCTTTCGATGATCTCCTGCGCCCGCGACCGGATGTCTCTCGATGTCTCGCGGACACGACCGTGCAACTCTTCATGCGAAACGCGGGCCAGCGGGGATTCGGCGCTCCGTCGCTCGATCGGCGGGTTCGCGGGAAGCTCGCGGGCGACGTGGTCGTAGCACAGGGTGTAGCCGAGGACGCTTTGCACAAGCTCCGAAGCCAGTGACATCCGTTGACCCACGGCGATGTCTGATTCCGCGAGACGAGCAGCTTGTTTGTTGATTTTTGATAGGTAAAAGCCTCTCATGCTGCAGTATCCCCATGTGCCAAGGTAGACCACGTCGTCCACTGGCGCCTCTGGCTCGGTCCGGTATTGGTTCGGGGTATCGGTCGCGGTTCGCGTCGGGAGCGGCTGCGGGCTCGGCCGCGTCGATGCCAGCGGGAGACCCATGGTTGCAAGGGTCGCTGAGCAATTGATGGTCGCTGCGAGTAAAGTCGTTAGCGGGACCATCCATGACACTGGGTGATGACGTACAGACTCGGCGACGACCTTGGGCGTATCGGTACGTGTGCTTGTGTGTGCGCGAAACGGCGTCGATTGTCTCTTTCCCGAACCAGGAGATGTAGGAGAAGCGCAACATGTAGGAGAGATGTTGGGATCGGAAGGGCGTGTTTGCCGAATCTGCTCGACACCTCACTCCTGTTGGTTGGCTTCGCTCGTTTGCGCGGCGGCAGGATGGCGGTTGCATGACGAGGGTCTGCAAGCGCCAATGGCGTTGGTCGCAAACATGGGCGCTTCAAGATTCAGGAAAAGGTAGATCGCCATGGTGTTGTTTATCGTGAGGTCGACCGAAGGTTGGCAAGTTCGCTCTCGCAAAGTACTGCAGGGCATTAAAGCAATTGACGGGTTGTCAGGAAAAAGCCCCAGGCGCACCAGCCTCGGCACATCGGCAAAGTCCGTGGGAAGACTTGGACCGCAATTTCGTCGAACAGCCACGATAAGATCGGCGATAGGAGTAGATTTTAGTGCAATTCTGGGGCCAATGGAATCCATTAGCGCGTGGACCGCCCCACTTCTGCCATAGGTCGCCCCCAGCCAGGGGCGCTGCTGGGCATTGCCGCGCGGATGGAGTCAGTGCGCTTGTACAGCCTCCAGATAAGCTCGGATAATGAGAACCATTGGGGTCCGTGCTCGTTTCCAGCGCTTCAAGCGCTTGGGATAAGCGAAATGTTCTGCTTGGAAGAATGGATTCCTGTCAAGCCTCCACGACCGACAAATTGGAATAACTAACCCGGCCTCACTCCGGGGATTATAATGCACCAGGTGAGTGCGTGCCTCAGCCGCTGCTGCAGGTGTCTTGTCTAACAATCACGCGTCACAGAACCGAGAAAGAGACCGCTGACATGCCGTGCTGACAGCGCGTCGATGCCAGTTAATAATGCCACGTCCGCCCGACCAACCCTGCACTTCGACCTCCGACGACGAAAGACGTGTGGTTCCCCTCCGACAACCCCGAAAACGATACGAAGGCCGAGCTTGAGCCTCCCAATGCCTGACCCTGGCGACTCCGTCGCGGCCACGACAGCGGCCGACCGCCATGTCAAGTACAACGCAGCGGCAGCGAAGAGCAACAAGCGGAGGCGTACAAAGGAAGAGTCGTTCTGGCATTGTCGTGTATCTCGGCGCTCCAGTAGCCTGCCTCCAGCGCCGGCCGGCGGCACACGAGGGTTGCGCCGCTGCAACAGCCCCTGGAGGCACGACACCGCCATGCTTGCGGCTTTGGGTCTTGCATCAGGTGGTCAGCTACAAGTCCGAAACCCTGGACGACTGGACCCTACCAGAGAAGGCATCTGGGGGTAATGCTGGACCTTGTGCTCGAAGGGACGTGAAAGCAGTCCATGCTTCTTCCTCCTCCACGAACCTATCGAATTCACTACCCCGAGCCAAACAGCAGTGCCTGGGCGGCACTTCCAAAACGTCGTCGGCCCATGGCCCGATGTGCGATGATCCCGACCACGCAGTTGGCCAAGATTCCCCTCCGCCCGTCGGTACTCGGGAGCATAGCCATCTCCGTGCCTCGGCCACAACGGCAAGCGCAAGAAGGAAGAGTGCCCTGTTCTATTTGCCATTACTCCGCCACAATCCGTACTGATGCAGTCCCGGCCAAAGATGGTTTCCTACTGAATCCCAGGACGCGTGGTCGCCTGGTCTGTCTGGGTATCAGTCTGCCGATTTTGACCGTCGCTTCCTATCTCTACCGTGTCTGCAACTACCTGTCGGGAGAAACTGGAGCACGTCAAGAAGCTTAGACTTTCGGATCTCCGTCTTCGATGACGCTTGCCAAGATTGCAGAGTATTTGTCGTACCGGACGAGCTTCAATTCAATGTGCATATGCTGACGCCGTCCAACCTAGTAAGGTCGAATCTCGAAAGACCGACGCCAGCTGCGGGTAGCGGCATGAGCTGCAGGAGAGGCAATTGATGCGCAGAAGTTCCATTAATCCATGCGAGCGCTGTCTTGGCACTCTCCAACATGGGGCAGCATAGCCAAGACGCAAGTCGATCGCCCAATTTGTCAATGAATGTTGTGTTGGGTACGGCCTGTATACTCCAGGGCAAGCTTGCCGTCCAGAAGAGATGCCGTCGCCGCAGAGTAGGAGAGAATATCTAGCCCCCTGGAACCTCTCACACTCTTGTCATCCGTTTGAGCTCCTTGGGCAATCCATTCAAGGAAGACTGCTCCGAGTCGAGAGCCCAAGTTCTTTGCCATACAAGTCATCCTTCGATACACCGCTCGCCGAGTCCGCCATCCAAGGATAGCGTCTGTCTTATTGGAGGACGATCCTGCTTCCTGCATCGCATCAGCCCACCATCGCAAGAGATCTGGCACTTGGATTCCTTCGCCTTCGCGTCGGGATATGTTGGGCACTGCGCTGTCTAGTATCGGAATGTAGTAGTTGCTAGCTGGCTTGCCTCCATGGGTGCTGCATGGGGTCGTTGGACTGAGAATCACGCATCAACGGGTGCCATCTCCTGTGTCTGCTTCTGTGATGAGTTGGCAATACTGGTGTTCTAGTGATCAAGAAGGCTGCTCTGAGGCTTGTTTCCAAAGCACGGGGATACTTGACGTTGAGATACATGTCAGCCATGTCGGCCGTCTTAAGACGCGAAGGCCTTCTATCTTGAGGCCATGAAGAGTCTGCTGGTGTTTCTTTGCGCATTTCTGCTGAATGTTGTCTCGCATGCCACTGGAAACTCCATCGATGAGCACAGAACACCGGGCTCACGACGAAGCCGTACATTGCTTCAACAATACAGGTTCACGCGCAGCATCAAGTCATAGGCCTACCAAGCTAGCTCACATCCAAAGGCCGAGGCAGCCCCTTGATTGTCTACACTCCGCAGACTAGTATTGCCCTGCCTACGGAATCTTCCATTGACGTCAAGTTCCGGCTAGCATCACCGCAAGACTCCTGGACTGTGTGATGGGCTGACATCCCTTGACTAGCCGTATTGCATTCCATGATCGTGGCCTTTCCCGTCATCTTGAGTAATACAGTTTCTCCCAGGAGACCACCACATCCAAGTCAGCATATGTCAAACACCATGAACGCATGACCTTTGCTCAACTCGCACTGCCCCTACCCAGCTGAACTGTCAGTCATGTCCATGTTGCCTCAGCCGCAGCCATCTCGGAATCAACCCACAAGAACAGGCGGTCGAGAAGGCGCTTTCTGCTATTCATCCTCACAGTAAACGTCTTACCTCCATCTCCCTGGAAGCCATCATGGCTCACATCCATCTTCGTCAGCATTTACTAGCCGCTGGCTCCATGCTCTGCGATTATCCGATCCACTTTCTTCCGGTTGAACATCGAACCATGTTGACCTCTGCCCAGAAAAACACTTCCTCCATTATTTCGGCGGGATGTGGTTATTCTCATCGGCGCAGCGTGATGAGCATTGTCGATCGCAAACTTCCCGATATTGACGTCGGAAGTACCGTCCGGACTTTCGTCCCTTTCGTCTTCGCAGCTTGAACTTGAACCCATAATCCGTTAGCTCAATTGACAAGACTGACAGTGGGGTCGCCAACGGGATCGTTCCTACCTTTCATCGGTCTTAGGATGCCTCGGGTTCGCTTCGGATTGTCGTTGAGGAAGTATCCTTTAGGTTTGACCTCGGGCTGGAATGGTAACGGTGTGAATGTTGGACGCAGTTGCTCATTCGGCCTGGACTTGGAGGTTAGGTTGTCTGCTCCTCACTTGGACGACCGTCTCGAGAATTTTGCAGATGGCGGAGGCGCGGTGGGCGTAATTCAGAAATGAAGCGGACTTGTTGATGGGTGCGAGGGACAGGTCTTCCTTGTTACCGTCGCCGCCACAATCTGACCAACGCCACAAAGCGCCCGCGCTGTTGTCGAAGGATCTCGTGGGACGAAGATGGAGCGAAGTTGCCCACTACGCGACGCATGTTAGCCTAGGTAGAGAAGCTTCTCCTCGAATAACTGCAAGTCCCGGCAGTCATGGCACGTCTGTGACAGACGAGGCGGGGGCTCCAAGAAACGTTGGCGCAGCGCACGCTGCCGCTCAGGTAGGGCTCGACAATGGCGGTGACGACGAGTTAAATAATCCCAGTGCTTGAGGAGTATTTCCAAAGCCCCAAGTGTTGGTTTCTCGTGCAGAAATTAATGGCGTTGAGGGTCAGGTCTGGGATTGGTGGTGTGTAACTGACAGCGAAGACGAGGGGAGCAAGTGGAGTGGTAGGCAGCCGCCACGGGAACGACCTGGATCCTCTCCAACCGGGATTTTTGGTCCGGGGAAAACGCGACCCGACGAAGCAGGTCCGCCGCTGTCCCGTCCCATACTCTCGGCCACAGTGCACCCCGGCTGGCAGGCGCAGCGACCCAGCAGGAAAGTACTACGACCCTTTTCCATTTGATGCCAGGCTCAATCTTTGGTTTCCCGATCCATCATTCTTGCATGATCTTGAATACATTTGGAAATGCATCGTATTATCTTGTCGGTGGCTACTGCTCGCTTCGTGACCTCCACCAACTTCATCCTCCACCAGCTGTGCTGGCTTCAACATTCATTCAAATTCATATTAAATTCAACCTATTTCATGGCAAGGCCGAGTGATTACCGTATTTTCCTACTATATGTTCACGTCCGAGGATTGACTTGAAAGCTTTAAGTCGATTCTATCTGACGCGATTTCATCTCATATCAATTGATTTCATTCTTTATGTTCTCGTCTCATACGTTGTTATCTCATGTGTTGTCGTCTCATATATTTTCATTTCGTGCGTTTTCATCTCACATCTTTTTTTCTCATTCGTTTTCACCTCATGTATTCTTATCTCATATATTTTCATATCATACACTAATCTCATGTGCTTTTGTGTAATGTGTTTCCATCTAATATGATTTCATTGGCTAGCGAAACCTCTGGGAACAACGGGGCATGGCAAAGTTCCAAACGAGCCATCGAATCTGCCTCAATCTCTATGCTCACCTCGCACAACCGGGCGACGAAAGCAATCTCACCACAGACACACGCCTGGATTCATAAATCTACCGCATGACTTTATAGCACTTCAAGTGCATCATTTCAGGTCGTCGTCTCATCGCGGCTTAAG